AAACTGGTGAACAAGACCTTTCTCTCTCTCTCTCTCTCTCTCTCTCTCTCTCTCTCTCTCTCTCTCTTTCATTTTCTATCTGTCTGTCTATCTTTCCTAGTGTTTCGTGAATTCTCACTATAGTAAATGTGACAAGGAAAGGTTGTTAGATAGAGAGAGATAGAGAAGAGAGACTTCTCGGACTTTACTTTCGTAATACGCGTTCGGTTTCGTACCGAAGTTGTTACAAGTTATACGAGCTATCTTGACTTTACTTATATAGGGTGAATCAAAAATATATAGACAATAAATCATAAGATTTATATAATAATTTTTGTATTATATTGTTTTTTAACTTTATTTTATTTAAATTTAATCTCCCCCTTGTTCTTTTTTTTTTAGATATCTTCAGAAGATTGGTCATAATGGTAAAATAATGTAATTGTATCTGTTAATATGTATATAACTGTACATGTATTTTTATCGTTTATTGTCCACTTACTTTTAGTTCATCCTATATATAGAAATATATCTTATCTATAATAGTATTTGTAAAGTATGTGTATATGTGTGTAGTTTTAAAAAAGAAATTTGTACTTTTCTTATACAGAAATATTTAACAACATGAAAGTTTTAAAATCCTAACCTAAAACTAGAAATACTTATTGGTAAAAATACACTACCAATATGGCTGCTTGATTTCATGTTAAATAATTAATAATTGGACTAGTTGTTCCGTTTTTAATCCAACAAACACGTACATAACATTAAAGTACTACTTTAAAACAATTTTAAAACAACTTAATAATCTAAAAGAATAAAATAATAAGAGGAAAAAAACCTTTAAGACATCGATATGAATTATTTGCAATTTTACATTGGTATCAGTCTCGTAAAACTTTTCTCAAGTATTATTGAGTTATGCTCAAAGCTTTGGGAATCTTGGCGGAGAACTTCGAACGTGAATATAAAAAATTCAACATTTGAGAAAACGCGCGTGCACACTTCAGTCATTAATAATAAAAATAAAAAATAAAAAAAATAAAAATAAAAAAAGTATGAAAAGAAGAAGAAGAAGAAGAAGAAGAAAGGAAAAGAGAATTTGCGACTTGTTCATTAATGATAATGATCGCGTTCTAGAGAAGTCTTCTTCGTGAACTCGCGAAAGGAAACATCACGATTTGTATTCAGTACGACGATATGGCCGAATTTGTAGGTTAGGTGTATATCTATATAAGAAAGTAAGTAAGTAAGTTAGTAAGAAAAGCATACCACGGAACAAGATTCGAGCCAAGTCTCAATCCACAACCACCAACACCACCACCACCCTCTACCCAACTCTTCAACCATCCTCAACCCCTGAAAAAATCAGGGGTGGATTCGCGAAATAAACTGTAACGATGAGGGTTGCTAAAGTATAGAAACGGGAATGAATTGGGCTGGGGGTTGTTGAGGTTGCAGGAATTTTAAGGGGTTGTGGAAAATTTTTAAAAAGTGGGGATAGTTTTGGTAGGTTGGTCGTCGTTCCTGTGCTCCAACTTCCGACGATAAAAGTGAGCTAAGACCAACCAACGTACACACACGTATCTTTTAACATGAACGTAACATAACGCTACAAATGTACTTGTACTCTTATTCTTTTTTTTTTTTCTATGCTAACATTCTAAGGGGTGGCCTTTAAGAGACTTTATTTGGCGACGTTACTGTTCTCTTTTTCTTCCTTTCTTTCTGTGGCTCATTGAACACCATAATCGAACTAAATCGATGTATAAATAAAAAAAAAACACGAGGATAGGATAGGAAATATCGAAATAGGTGATTTCTTTGTATCGAATGACCCCCAAATGAACAACGTTAAAATACATTTTATTTTTATCTTGATATTTTTCTTTCTTAGTGTGTGTTTCTTACCCCTTGTGAATTTTGAATGCACGTTCTATAGGAGAAATGACTTCCCATAGACTTTCAGGATGCTGAAAAATGTCCTTCGTATTATCGATTTAGGAAATGCTGAGCTATTCTCTCTTACGATATTCCTACTTTCGTATCTATCAAATATTTCTTTATACTATCTATCTATGTATATTCTCAAATCTATTGTTTATCGATCAACATCGAGGAAAATAGCTAAAGCTTTAGAATTTTGCATGCTCACGTTTTTAAAACCCCCACACAGATGTTTCTTTCTGAACGATCAAACAAAACAAAACAAAACACAACAAAAATGCGAACTTTTCTATCATAGATTTGTATTTGATAGATTTATCTGACTTATATCTACACATACACGTACACATGTCAAAAATATTCACATAAATTATGTTAACATTTTTTTTTCTAATTTTAAATCATATCATTTATCGATATTAGCATTTAATTAGAAAATGTTTCAACAAAATGTCCTTTGTTAATCTTAAAACCATCACAAAGACGTGATTTTCAACGAACAAAAAAAAAATATTCATTCCTATTATATAAATTATGCAGAGAGAGAGAGAGAGAAAATTTGTATAAAATGTTGTTTTATTATAATATAAAAAAGTGTCATACATTTTTATTTTTTTTTTTACTTTACAGAAAAAGAACACGTTTTACGTTTATATTTTGAAAGTCTTTCAACGTTCGTCAGTTGTAATTAAAAACGTTCACTCGAATAATTTACAAATGGCTGACATAAAACAAGATGTCGGGTCTCGTTATGCCTTACATCATCTTTATCATAACCTAAAAAAAAAAAAACAAAACTATACAAAGTTGAATTAAAAAAAAAAAAAAAAGGAAAATACAGCTAGTAAAATGATAAATCTCAATGAAATTAAATAAACAAGTTGAGAAAAATAATAAAAAAAAATATAGAGAAAGAATTAAGATAAAAACTAATCGATTCTTCGAAAAGTAATACTAAGATTTTGATTTATGCTTAGTAGGGAAAACTATACAAGTAGTCGTATTAAATTATCACGTGTAAACTACGTCTCTTCGTATGAGGAGTATATAAGTACTTGCGTTCGTTAGTTTATACATGTTAATTTCATGCAAGTACTTGAGCTAGTTTGTAATTCTCGTGAGTTTACTAAGCATACGTATTGCGTGTGTATGTTATGAAACCTTATATATATATATATATATATATATATATATAATAGTTAGAAAAGGGACAAGCATAACTAAGGAGTCTAAAGCCTCTTGACTTATACTAAAAGTATACACGCATCCATATACAGTAAGTATAATGCAATATATATATATATATATATATATTTAATCTTTAGAATTTATGCCAAAAATTCAATACATCAAATCTAATAATACGTACGACTCATTCGAAAATAATGTCGATATTTTTATAATAAGTTAACAAATTAATTTACAGAATTATGAACCCATTCTTAATGACACTTTGAGATTTATATATGGGTTGGTAAAAATACAAAGAGTATTAATTTTGATTTTTCAAGTAAACACGTCAATTAACAAGTTGAGTGTGCCACGTCAGTCAACTGAACTTTCCGTTTAGGCCACGTCACTCACCGTTCGTGGTGACACTCAACCATTTTTATTTTTTTAATACTTAAGTAACGAGGATTTTCTTATAAATTTACGTAGAATTTTCAACATGTCAAATATAAAATAAAAGGGTAAATAATATTGAAAAATCTGCATTGACGACAAATGGTTGACAACAAAAACAAGATGTCGATCACGTGGTATCAAAATGTCGCGCGGCAGCATTATAACCTCAAAAAAAAATATATTATAATAAAACAAAAAAAATAGGTTAAGATTAAAGTTGTAACGTGGTGAAACGAACAAGATCTTAATCACGATTTAAATTTGATGTTAAATTAAATGTTGGATGATAAAAATAAAATAAAAGTTTAAAGGGAAAACGTGATAAGAGTCTTTTGCTAATCGATCATCGTAGTTTTATTTTATAGTTGAGAATAGATAGGACACAATAATAAAAGCTTGAGAAAGAGAAAGACGGAAATGAGATTCTGTTCAGCAAATAGAAGTCCCGTTGCTTTGGATCATTTTCCTTTTTACTGGCACGTCTACCATCGATAGCAGGGAAACGTCGGGTTAATTACTGTCGAACTTTACGACACCTCGCGAGCTACGTCTATCTGTTTTAAACGATAAAAGAAGAACAAGAGAGAAAGAGAGAAAGAGAGACACTGATTGATTGCCTCGGGGTTATCGAGATCGCTGTAAAATAAATTCGTCAATGCGAAAGAACGAATGGGGAAAATTGTTCTAGGTTAGAAAACGTCTATGAAATAAACTTAATCAATCCATTTTACGAATATATTCTATCAAATTTTAATAATATAACCCAATTATTACAAGTATCAATTTTCTAGGTTAGAAAATGTTTATGAAACAAACTTAATCAATTTATTTTATTAATATATAGATAATATAACCTAATTATTACACATATCAATTTTCTAGGTTAGAAAATGTTCATGAAATAAACTCAATCAATTTATTTTACAAATATACTTTACCAAATTTTAATAATACAACTTAATTATTACATATATCAATTATATAATTATTCTTACATAAATGCGTATTTGTTCAAACAATACAACCAACTAAATAAATCGATAAATCTTTGCATGGTAACAAAAAGTTTGTTAATATTACCAAAAAAAAAAAAAAAGAATAAAAGAATCTTAATAAATATTTATATCTTCCTAATATCAACTGAACCATCTTTCCTTACGAAATTTCGAACGGTAATTTCCAACGTAGTTATTTTTGGAATGACATTCGATATGTCATCCAATGGGGGAAATTGGATAAAGACAAGAAAAAGTGTATTTCAAACAAAATATTGATAATCGAATAAATGAAGAAAATAATTCGTTAATTAAATACAATATAATTAATCTACAAAAGATAGAAATGTATTTTATCAGATATACACACCTATATGTGTGTATATATAAATGGTCATGATTCATTTATAAAAAGAAATAGTAGTAAGATTGTGCAGATAGTTTGGTATATCTAATCTCGAAATGAGCTACTGGTGGTCATCACTTTACTGGTCCATGCCCTCTCAGGAGGATTAGTCAAATCCCAAAATAATACCGTGAGCGAGCAGTACCACCGTGCAACTGCACAAATGGCAGTAGCAATGTAAATCAGTTTCCTCTGTTTCTCTATCATCTATCTATCCATCTATCTTCATCTTTCTCTTTAAATCCCACCCCCAACCCCCATTCCCATCCCTCATTCTCTTTCCTAGCCCCGTACCCATTCTGTTAGTTCGTACACCTCACCGAATTTGAACGATCTAATCGACAACGATGTCGGTAACGTCGTAGCAATAGAAACCCAGCACAGTAATACAATTAGAGTACATTACCACAGCTTAGAGAGCTCTACGCTTTCTTAAGCAAATATCCCCTACCGATTGAATGGGACGCGCTTATGGTTTCGAGGTTTGAATCCTATAGGACAAACGCATGCTTAATTCCTAACGGAATAATCGAATCGTTTGGCTAACACCTCCTGTCGGAATTATGGAATTCGTTGGATTATTAGCAAAATTCATACTTCGAAGGTAATAATACTGATTTAATACCAAAATCACAAAATTTTTGTTGGACAATTCAATGCTTTAATTCCATTAGTTTACCAAAAAATAATCGAAGTATACGAGGAGAATGAAAAAAGAAAAACAAAAGCATTCACCAAACTTGTTCTATATTTAAATCGTCAAAAATGAACTGGGACAACCCCTACGATAAATTTATTCCAAAAGATATGAATATATATATTTGTCTTCTTCTATGTTTAATGAATTTCACAAAAGTTCAAAGCGGGGGTTGTTTGATAAAGTAGAAAGTATATTATGGGTATATGCCATAGAAATAGATATTCCTCGTTAAATAGTGGAAATGTTGATAACGTGAATGGTCACTGAACCACTGACACAATATTTTTTCACCAAACGATCGTGTCACCCGTTGAGACCATCGCGATTCTCTGTTTTGATTTCTGACGGTAAGAGAAAAAGAGACAGACAAACAGACAGACAGAGAGAGAGAGAGAGAGAGAAGGTAAAGAGAAGGAGAGTGGACTTGAAATAACTCGGGCCAGGAGAAACGACGTCTATTAATAGTTGCAGAGAAGAGAAGAGCATCTTTGTCGTGAGTTTGGTATTCCCTGTGTCTCTCCACAGTTTTTATCCGAAAAATATACATCATAAATATTTGTTGATTCCCCCTTCCTTCGTGAATTTCTAATCTCAACAATTGATAATTCTATCAGATTATAATGTTTAACGAGTACTGGTTACTGTGCTGGTACTACTGTTGAGGGAAACAAGCAGCAGGTCTAGTGGTGAATGTACGATGTGCCTAGACTGTTACAAAAATAGATCTAGGGAATTGGAGTTGAGGTTTGAAGTAGAAGAAAACTAAGAAGTCAGACAAGAAGAAAAAGAAGAAGAAGAAGAAGAAGGGTGGAGGTAAAGTTGAATAGTTGGACAAAGACGTAAGAAGAGACTTTTGCGAAGACAGAGAAATAGAATTTGGTTTAGTCGAAGACACTGAACTTGGGATGATTCTCGGAGGTTGCTACAGCAATATAAGCCGTTGCTACTGGAACTAAGTTAAAATCACGTTGGTGCGAATCTAAATAAAGAACTATAGTTAGGAATGAGTGAGTGAGTGAGTGAGTGAGTGAAAAGAAAAGAAAGAAAAGAGAGAAAGAGAAAGAGAGAGTGGGGGAGTCATCGGTGTTCCAAGAGAGGGATTTGTGAGTAAGAATGGTAGAACGAAACGCGTGCACTAACAGCACAAGTAACAGCAGCAACAGCAACAGCAGTAATAACAGTAACAGCAGTAACGATACTAACGTGAATAAGATCAATACCGTGTCTTTAAATGGCGTGTCAAACGTTGTCCGTGAAAGTGGAGTTTACGAGGAAGGTGTTGGACTGGATGAATTGACGAGTTTACGTCGTGCAAGTGGTGCAAGATTTTCTATTTTCAAATGGTTCAAACGTGCCGGTAGTCGAGCAGCTACGATTGAAAAAAGAAGAAAGATACTGGATAAGATTACTCGTAGCGAAGAAAAAGAAGAAGAAGAAGAGGAAGTAACAGCTGAAGTAAAAGAAAAGAAAGAAGAGGAAGAAGAAGAAGAAGAAGAGGAAGAAGAAGAAAATGGAGGACAACAGAGCGTATCTTCTAGCGCGGAAAGTGTAGACACGTTTTATAGTACAACAACTGTACGAAGTTTCGCATTTCATAGTGGTGGACTAATAACTGGTAAAGAATTGTCATTGGATATTTTGAAGCAGGCAGCTGAGGTAGGACCATTCGCAGCTGGTGCTTCGAAATTGGTTGCTAACAAAGAGAACACAGTCGCGGATGTCGCCTGTACGTTGCCATCTAACGTTCATTCCCGTAGAAGGGATATTACTGCGAGATATTCCCTTCAACCAACAACGACTAGTTATTCCTCCTGCGATAATTTACCATTACCGGAGAAAAGACCACTTTCCGGTTCCTTGAGAATAAGACATCATCATCATCATCATCATCATCATCATAATCAAAATAAAAAGGAATTGGATGGTATAGAAATAAACGCAGTTAGACGTAAGGTACACGTTAAAGGTAAAAGAAGAGCACCTAATCCACCGGAGGAAAAAGAATTATCAACAAAGATCACCGAGGTCGATGTACTACCACTACCACTACCACCACTACCACCACCAGTGGTTGTCTTAGTAGCGCCATCAAAAAATAGCAACAGACGAAAGAGACCAGCACCGAGACCTCCAGAAAATCTTGATACTTTATCCCGTTCTTTGTCTTTACAAAGAAATCTCACAAATATCACCACAGATGTTGGAATGGATACGAAAGAATATTATACAAATAAACAAGAAGAGGGACAAGTTATCAGTAACGATACTTTGATATTACAGGGTGGTCTTTTGCATTCGAAAAAAGATTTGGAAAAGCAAAGTATTGTTAAAAAAGATAATAAAAATAATTTAGGTCTTATTGGTGTTGGTGGTACTGCAGCTGGTGGTGGTGGTAATACTGTTACAACTTTAGAAAATATTCAACAGGATACTACGAATTTTCGAATTGTCGGAGACACGGGAACAATTTGTACGGCCATGCCGCGACCTTGGTACAAACGTAGCGTCTTTGAACATTCTCGAGATTCCACGACGTCTAGAAAGGCCGATGTACTTCGTACTTCAACTACGACGATCGGAACTATAGATTCTAAAGAGGAAACAACCATAACCGGTGCTCAATCATTGTCATCTAATTTAACATCCTCGTCAGCTTATTCCATGGATACTTCATTATCCAGATTAAGTTTTTTTCATCGTGGTGAAAGACAACAGATGGAAGAACGAAAACGAGATGTTAAAAGAAAATCAGGATTATCAATTTTAACAAACATAAGCGAACTTGACAAGGAAGCAGCAGCTATCGTGCAAGAGGAACAAGCACGTGCACGTGCATCGATGCTTTTAAAAACTTCCAGATTCACTGAAGCTTTCGAAAGGACAAGTGACGTTAACGAAGAACTCGTTCAAGATATGATTGCCTCAGCTATGGAAAATTCATCCCCCAAACAACGTGGTACACGTGCATTGATATCAAAATTCAATGCAATCAGTAATATAACCAAGGTTACTGTTAACAGTAATTTTTTCGCTAGAAGGGATCAACAGGGTTCCAAATTTGAACAGGACGTTATCAGAAAGGCTAAAGTTGAACAAACGGAATTTAAAGAAAATTCCAACAAATTTAATCGTGGACAAAATGTCAAAGTATACGACAAAGATATTTCCAAATATTTTTTACCCCAACAGCAAAAAACTACAACTACGACTACGACTACGACGACGACAAAAGTCGACAGTAAAGATTTAGTAGAAAATAAATTATTGACAACAACGAAAAAGGATAACAACGATAGATTGATAAAAGAAACTTCCAGTAGGATATCATTCTTACAAAGTCAGCTAGTTGCAAATCGAATGAACAACGAGCCTTTAACTTCTACCAAAGAAACGTTTCTACCATTGATGGAAGAAAAAATGAAATCTAAGAACGAACAAGTTGGATACAACGAAAGAAAGGAAAAAGATAGGAAAAAGGATAATGTTATTTCCAGTGGAAATGTTAGTGGGGGTGAAGGATATTTGTTATCTCGTTCACGTGATTCAACTAACCCTAAAAGCATGGAAAATGTATTAACCAAAGAGCCTAGAAAATTATCCGAACGTAATTTCGAAACTACTCAAAAAGAATTTTCTAATATTTTCGACGAAATAGAAAGACAATTGCGTACTAGAAAAGAACCGAAACATGTTGCTCAACTTACGCCAATTTCCAATCTCGAGGTACCTAAGGACAGGGAGATATTATCTATAGAAGAAGCAGAAGAGGCAGAAGAAGAGGAAATAGAAAAAGAAAAAATAAAAGAAGATGAAGAAGAAAAAGAAGATGAAGGAATATCGAGTAAAGTGACTAAAGTGCTCGACATCCTAGTGGAAGCTGAGAAAGATGGGAAAGCAAAGAAGGCGATTATGCGAGCTACGACGAAATCGATCCCGATGGATGATGAGATTCATCGTAGTTTGATCGAACCAACTTACAATAAATTCAAGCCAAATAAAAAGACACCGGTGACATCGTTGTTGAACACCATGGAAGATCGTTCTACGACAGATTTAAAAGAAATGTTAAAAGAAATGAAACATTCGTTACCGAAACGTCCAAAACCTAAGAAACCTAGGTCAACTGATGAAGTATTATCGATAAACAAAGATTACTTGCCAAGTACTAGCAAAATATCTTACATAGCTAAATCTGTATTGAAAAAGGAAGCAGCCCCATTAACTCAAACTCCTCAGTTAGATTATGAGATTGAAAAGCAAAAAGTATCCTCTTCCTCTCAAACGAGTGGAAATGTACGTCGATTGAATCAACCGTCAACATCTTCATCTTCACCTTCTTCTACTTCTTCTTCTTCTTCAGTTTCTTCCTCTACAGGATGGAAACAAGAAGATGTCGTTTACAGGACATCCGGTAAAGCTGTCTCGGGTTTGGCTTTAGCTAAAAACACTTTTCAATTGATTCGCCCTCGTGATTTCGCTGTGATAGAAGCTATCAAGACAACCAAGGGACAACAACATCAACAGTTACACAAGGAAAACACTTACGCGAATGTAATCGAACGATCACTTTACGCTAACGCCGTTGTTCCACCCACGACTAAGCACCAACGTGATGAGGAAGATCCTTCACGTTCTGTTAAGGGGGTTCACTCTTCTCAGAATGATCCAGGATTATCGAATATATCTCCTTCGAACGAACGACCATTTATACATTATGACGAGGAACCTAAAGAAGGTTATTTATTCTATAATAATCCAATAATTAATAATTCCATAATTAAAGCTAACCTAGAAAGCTCGTTTTAATCAATAAAATGAAATAAATCAAATCAAATACACAAATCCCAAGAGAGATGTGAATTTATTTGATTAACATTTTAATATTTATTTTTTCTTGTTCATTTTAGAAGAGACAACGAACAATAATATGAACACATTGGCAATAAATCGTTTGTTGAGAAAATTGGAAGCAGCAATAGCTTCGGGTCATCATCAGCAAGCTGCAGGATTAGCAAAGGAATTGGCAAGATTAAAGATTCATTGTTCAGTTATACGACAACGTACAGCACGTTTAAAAGATCGATCGATAAAGGTTAATATGTACATTGAAGATAAACTGGCTCATCAAGGACCTATACCTCTTCAGGTAAGTCGTGTGTAATTGTGCAACAACCACCATCACCAATAGCTTGATCTAGGGGTATCTAAGGTATTTGTGAAGTCATTTATTAAATAACATTACTTAGAAGTTCAGTAAACGATGCCAACACACAACCTTTATCGTAGCTACCAACGAGAATGACGGTCGCCGAATTGAAGATTAAAGTCTACACGGAATTCGAGATACCAACTAACGTGCAACGTTGGATTATTGGAAAGAATTTAGCTGATCGTGATGAGACTACGCTGGAGGAATTACAGGCGATCGATGGTTCACCTATTTTCTTATATCTCGTTGCACCGGGTAAGTTTTAAAATAGGAAAAAGAAAAAATAAGACAAAAGATAAAATAAAACAAAAAATATCAGTGATCACTTTTCTGGATAATTAACTACCAACTAGCTAGCTAAAAAAAAGAAAAGAAAAGAATACAAAAAAAAACACATCTCCTCTTCCCCAACTTATTTAGAATTGCAAAAGGATTCCGTAGTAGTGCAAGCCGGAAAATCAAACTCCCTGGAAGAACTTTCGAAGGTTGAGAAGGTAATACGTCAACCGGAAGAAAAAGTAATAACGATGAAGGAGGAAGTTAAACCGACTACTGTCACTCCTTATGATAAACAGGTAAAATTGATTAACTTTGGATTTTATCAATTTAATAAAAAAATTGAAATTAGAAAATGTCAAGATTCACATAATTGCTTCATTTATATCTCAAATATTAATGAGTAAAAATAAATCCAAATATTCGGTCTTTCACCATGTGAATCTTGACATTCCCCAATTTCGAACTTTAACCTTAACATTAATTAAATGAAAAAAATATGTGAATCAATAGAAGAGAGTTAACATTATCGATTGAATTCAAAACTTCATATTTTTATACACCTCCAATTCTGTATTCTTATTTTTCTGTCATAAGGAGGAACAGGTTGAACCTGAGGAAGAACAGACGCCTGAGGAAGTGAAAATGGAACGTTACGAGGAATTAATATCTTTAGAAAATTGTGATGTTATACCAAATTCTGAAGCTATCGAGTGTCCAATATGTTTCGTAACTTATGGTCCACGTGAGGGTGTAATTCTTAGAGATTGTTTACACATGTTTTGCAAGTATGTTTTATTATAAAACAAAACCCAATTATTTTCACTTAATAATCCTATAATTACTTGTTTTCTTTTTTTTTCTTTTTTAGGTTATGTATAGCAAACACAATAAAATATTGTGAAGATGCTGAAGTAAAATGCCCATACAGGGACACCGAGTATACTTGCGAGTCAACGCTTCAGGAACGTGAAATAAAAGCGGTTGGTTGATTATAATGAAACATTAATTAAAAATTCCAAATTGACAATGATAAAATGTTTTAGCTCGTCGAAGCTGAAGTTTATCAGCAACACCTTGCTAAGTCGATTGCTCAAGCAGAAAACAATGCTGGTAATAATGCATTTCATTGCAAAACACCTGATTGTCCTGGTTGGTGTTATTACGACGATGACGTTAACAATTTTCTCTGTCCTGTTTGTGGTGTCAATAATTGTCTAACCTGTCAGGTAACAATATTGTTTTTTAATTCAATTAAAAAAGAAAATATAATGATAATAAATTAATATGTGTTTCATCAGGCCGCACATACTGGAAAAAATTGTAAACAATATCAACAAGAATTAAGATTATCCAAAGAAACCGATCAAGAATCTCGAAGGACAGCAGCAATGCTTGAAGAAATGGTTGACAGGGGTGAAGCATTGGCTTGTCCTACTTGTGCAGTTGTTCTCATGAAAAAGTGGGGCTGCGATTGGTTGAAATGTTCAATGTGTAAAACAGAAATATGTTGGGTAACTCGAGGACCACGTTGGGGACCAGGAGTAAGTTCAAATACATTTGCAAGAAATAACTTTAAAATATCTATGAAACATATATACATATAACATTTTTCTTGTATCGATCCTTTTTTGTCTTTCACAAACCCCAAAGGGTAAGGGTGACACATCCGGAGGCTGTAGGTGCGGAGAAAATGGAGTCAAGTGTCATCCTCGTTGCAATTACTGTCACTGAGAACCATTGGAAGTATTCTGCTTATTACCTTATCAACCTGGACAAACACAATGCACCTTTCTTTATCTATTCAAAAACGTCAAGTCAACCTACTACTATTGCTGTTGATGTTCTAATGACGTTAGGTGATTCATAATAACACGTCATTGTATACATTGATTTCAAAGAATGTGAGAGAAACAATGAGAACAATTAAACACACGTCATTATCCATTTATAATTAATAAGATTTGTAATAAAGGGATACACCATAAGATATCATTTTTAATCCTAACCTATAATACCATGCATCTTATTCATTGTAATAAATTGTTAATTTTTGTAAACTCACGAGTATATTAATGTGCATAAATATTTTTTATATTTCATAAATATATATTAATAATTAATCAAATATAAAATTTAATTTTGAAATTGCATACAATTACTAATTTTATAAACTTTTACTGCAACGTACAGGATGTTTCAAAAGTTATCTTTCAATCAAATTTAAGATTGATCTTTAGATTCAATAAAAAAAATAAATAAAATAAATGAAAGATCCCAATGATGACTGAATAACCACAATTATATTGATTGAAATTGGATAGACCCTTAAACAGTATTATAAAACCTACGAAGTTAATGATCTTTGAAATAAACTAATTTAATTGTAACACACGTAGAAAATGTTGTAAATAATATAAAATACCAGAAAAATAAAAAAATAAAACAATCGTACGTGTAACGTGTTAAACACACACACACACACACATGGATAGATAACGAGTTTTATTTGTGTATATGTTGTGTAACAGATGTACGTATATATGGTGTCCCGTTGTCATCGAATTCGAAATCCTAACATTGAACGCGTTATGCTTTACGTATTTTACCTCGTACAATTGAAATGGACGAGATTGGGAAATGAAAGTGTGTGCCGACACACTACTAACAGGAAATATATACATATATATATATATATATATTGTGTAATCGAATTTCTGTGCATTTTTACTTCTCGTGAAAACATTCGAATCGACATAGCATCGAAGAGAATCCCCTTTTTATTTGATGGTATATTTTTTGTTTTTTGTTTTTATTTTGTTTTTATTCTCTTTTTTTTATTCTTTTTGCGTTTCAAACCAACGATACGAATCTCTGGGGGGAGGGGAAGGGAAATACATTTTTTTTTTGTTTTTGAAAGCTCCCACCCATCTCCAGTTATATTGAAGACTAATAAGATTCATTTATTTCCTTTCCCTTTCCAAAAGGGCATAATACATTTTTGATACAAATATGTGAAAGTAAATAAGTTAGAAAGTCTGCCATTTTTCTGTATTCTGTATAAGTTTTCTTAATTCTTCTGTATTTTGTTCTCTGCATCTACGTCATTTCTGTAAATATCGCTGGACATACATATTAATTAACATATTAAATAGAATGTATATTATTATTATATTATTATTATATATATATATGTACTCTGTATCTGTGTTCGTCTGTATTTTTTTTTTATTTCTGCACCTCACGAAATTAATATTTAACAACATTTTTTTTTTTGAAAATACGATTATAACCTAATTAAATTTATAATGAATTTTATTTTAATTTTAAACGATAAATATATTATGAAAAGAAATATATTAATATAAATATAAATAGATAAACTGTAAAGATTAAAATTCGATTCAATTGAATTGTATTTGTGTTTGTTCCATTGTGAAAATATTTCCGATCTTCTGTAAATATTTTTAATAATTATTATTAAAATAATAATTAACTCCTTCATATTACAAATTCAGAATGAGTTTTCTTGATCTTCTTGAAAAAGTTAACATCAGTGTGATTCAGTCGAGCTTTCATTTTCTAATCTTTTTCCTAATAAGTGAGTGGCTTTTTACGAGGTTAGGTTATCGGCCTAACACTCAACCCCTATTAGTCGCCTTTTACGACAAGCAGGGGATACTGTGGGTGTATTCTAACACCCCCAACCCACAGGGGGAATGAGATGATGAGGAATTAATTTAATATTACAATCATCTATTTAATTTTTACAATTAATACATTTTCTGTTTACAAAAAAAACAAATAAAAAACAAAAGTAGAAGAAGAGGAAGACAATCGTTTAATATTTTATGAATTATTTTTAATATTTGCTATTAAACATATTGTAATACAATAAAATATATTCTTTATATACGTTTTACAACAAATTTATTTATTATTTTGTCTTTTAATTTACTGTAATTTATATTTATTTTCATTTTTATATATTCATTCGTTGGACAATCAATTTCGTTATCTGTAACGTTAAATAATTGTCATACTTTTTATTTCAATATTTATTTTATAAATAATACCGAATATTTGTATGTTATTTTAATAAATTGAAGTATCTCTTTCTACCTAAAAAAAAAAAGAAGAAACATACATATATATATATATATTAAAGTATATATTAAAAAAGAATATATAATTAAAGAAGATATGTATTTTATGATGAATTTTACTTACTGTTGAAAATAAAAATAAAAATGAAAGACGATAATATTTGTTGCTATGGAAAATAACAAAATATCGTTTAATGCAAATACATTGAAAACATTGAACACATATTCACACACACACTTTTGCATTTATGATTTTCTTCTTTTTTTTTCTTGTTTTTTACCATTGCAAAATTCAGCTTGAACAAAAAAAAAAAAGAGAAGAAGATTTATGTATATTGGAAACCGAATAACATCATAGCATTCGTAGTTTAACCACGTTGAATGGTGCGCATGGTCCTGTTTGATGTACCCAAAAAGTTTTCTGTTAAACAAGACATTAAGAAGATAAAAGTAGATATTAAAGATGAGCATTTCCTCGAATAATTTACAAAGAAGTGACCTTCAATACAGGTATGCTATTTCATTTTTTTTCTATCTTAATAATTTTATTTTATTTTTTTTTTTTTTGAGTGCAAGTGGAGTGGAGTATTTTTTTTTTTAATTCAATTAAATTAATTTATTAATGTAATTCATAATTTATTGTCTTTTTTTTTTGGTTTTTATTTCATACTGCGATATTTATGAATAGAAAAAAATAAAAAAAAAAATCTAAGTTTTATTCATAATATCTGATCAATTAATAAACAAATAAAAAGCGTACCAACGTGATGTTGAAATATTTATTAATTTTAATTTGTGTATTAAAAGTTTGTCGTTATTCGAATAACACCATTAAAATATCTATGATTTTATTATTATATACATTTTATACAATTCTTTTACAATATTTCTTTTGTATTTTTTGTTGTTTTTTTTTTCAGGAGATCACCGGAATATTATGTAAGTAATAATATAAATAATAAATACTTGAATTATAATTAGTTTGTAAATTGAACTTTTTTTTTTCTTTTTTCGTTTCCTCTTGTAATTTTTTGATTTTTTCTTTTTTTTGTTTTTTCAATTAAAAATTACACAATTATCTTATAAAAAATTAAAATGATAAACTTAGGAAACAGATTATAAATTTAAAAAACCCAAATTGATGAGAAACACTTACTCGCAAACTGATGAAAAACATGAAGAAATTATGAGACAAATGGAAGAAACTGTAGAAATAGGATATAAAGTATCAAATGACAAGATATTAGAAGATTCTTATGTTCAATATGTAAGAAATATAATAATGTCTATTAGGAAGTAATTATTAACACGTTGAGTATCACACGAATTCTTATGAAAATTTCTGTCAGGCCATAGGCATTATTTTGTATTGAAAATAGTTAAACGTGTCGGTCACTTGTGACGGACATGGCCTACACGGAAAGTCTAGTGTCAGTCACTGATTAATATGACGCTCAACGTATTAAAGAAAGAAAAAGAAAAAACAAACAAAGAAAAAGTTTGCAAAACCTTTCAAATAATTTTTTCAATTTAAATTCTAATAATTATTAAATCTTTTGTATTTTTTTTTGTTCCTTTTTTTTTTTTAAGAATGTTCAAAATGAACATCAAATAGCTGATCAAGGACAAGAGTTTAAAATATTTTCCAAAGAGTTGATAACATTGGTAAATGATGAACCAAATGATAAGATATTAAAAGATGATGCTTCCTCGCATGAGAGTACTATTATCGAACAATCCAATAATACGAAAAATAATTTATGTGAAGAAGTAACAGAAAATAAAAGTAATAATAACAAAAAAGAAAATGTCGTGGAATTTATGACTAAGGTAAATTAAATATATTTTATTTAATTTCCAATATATATATATATATATATAT